CACCGGCATAAACATTCTAAAAATGTTATTTGAAAATTATGCAATATACCTAGATGACATAGTTATTGCTGCTATTAGTGTTGTTTCTCCTCGTGAGATGCTAAATTTACATAAATAAATTAATAATATAATTGTTAAGAACACAAATTTTGTAACAAGGCACTCTTTAACTTATTTTTGGTAATTTTGTGTAAAATTTTACTGATATTTTCTGTCCACCTTGGATGGAGGCAGTGGAATCCGGAATTTAGGTTTTACACTTAGACTGGTAAGGATGCTACTTAATTTGTTCTTGTAGTGTCACTATTGCATGTCTTTTAAGCTGTAATAATTTGACTAGTATTAAGCTAAGCTGTAACCTGTAACCCTACCTTATTAAGAAATATACATATTATTATTATTAACTTTCGTAAAAAGTAAGCTATTAAATGATTAAGTACTTAGATAGCAATGAAGGTTACAAAAAACTTTTCCACGTATAAATATTTATAATGAAAAAAAAAAAAACATTTTAATCTTGACACACTTGTCGATATCAATTGACGCAGCCTGGACAATGTCTTTGTCAAGGAGTCTAAAGAGTTTACATTCATATCTCGGAATGTTCTTATTCATAGCGATACGAAATAATCTATTGACCCAATTATGCCGACCTCCCTTCCCGACACATGCCAAATGCTTGGTGTGTTTGTTACTAATGCAAGTTTACGCACAGAATTGACTAAAGGCCGGCCTAGATGTAGTAACAAACATTGAACAGACGCGATATTGATACGCGACGAAATTATCATTTAAGATTACATGAGGTTGAATGATAATTTTGATAACAAAATCAGGAGTAAAGTCTACATTTAAAGAGACAATAACCGTTATGCGACCCAAATAAGAAACATTTCTCAAAGAAGAATTACATGATGCATTTGCAGAAATGACTGTACACAAAGTACACAAAGTATAAACATTAAGCGGTCAAGAACGAATTTGCGAAATTCATACATGAGAGCTCTTGCAGCGCTGACGGTAAAGCGCTGCTCTCCGATTTGTTCCGCTCGCTTTGTTTTCTTACGCAATGTTTTGTTATATTTGTGCTAGAGATCGTATCACCAGCATTTCATAAGTCTAGTTATTTTGGAGACAGAAGTATGCTGCCACAAGTGGATTCGTTTGGCTGTGAGCATTCCAGAAACTATACATCCTTCGACATACCTTTAACAAATGGTTTTAAATAAAGATCCGGTATGCATTCTATTTTTCTTCCTCGGCGGCTGCACTATTAATTACTCTGCCAAAGTGAAAATGGGGTTCTTCCTACCTCAATATACCTTTAATTGTATTGAAATGAAAACAATAGATTGTAAAACTAATTATCACCCATTAAATAATAATTCTAACTCTTTGATTAAAATGTCGATTTCCTGAGACTATTAATGGCGATGACAATGCCAAAAGTTAAAGTTGCATTGGATCACATCCTTCAATTGTTTCAGTTTGGCATTTTCAATAATGGAAACTTAAGGTCGTGGAAATGGGTGTTCTAATAGCATTTAATAACATTATAATTTATATAACAGTTTACATCGGTATATTTTATAATATGAATTACACGATAAACCTTTTCAATAACAAGTTTCAACGCAAGATAATAACTCCAATCGTATTCTAAAATTCTAATTTGAATTCAACTTGTTATAAACTTATGAATAACGTAAAGAATTAACAACCATATTTTTTACAATTTCAATACTAGTCTTAGAATGACGTCATTAAGATTTCCAAAAGCGTCATAACACGTCACGACATTTGGATTAGTAGCAAGTATGGATGGCTTATTAATCCACATTATAATGCAACGGTTACTTGGGTATCTTCCGCTCGGGGGCGGCCAACCTCAACAAAATTAATTTACTGCGTCGATGCTAACCAGTTGACTCATGAATAGGAATTATTTGTATTTTGGAACAATTTAAATACCCGAGTAAACATTTCATACACATTGTAAACTGTTATTGTCATGTACTGAATATTTTAAGATGATTGTTTTTTTTTATTAGCCTCATAATCTCCTATTACTTAATTCTTTTTGGAAGAGGCGTAAAGCTTATCGCTAAGATAAATCATTTCCTATATTTGTTGTTATGTTATAGTAAATACTAACACGTTTATACTTTGAAACGGGTAAAACGTTCGTGTCATTGTTTAGACAACGGTGTTTAAGTCACAGTCTAATACAATCGTCATAAGGTTTTTTCTCGAGTCAGAAAATTTAATTGTTTCGGCATAAATGAAGATAATAATTTTATTCTTCATAGTTTAACGTACTCGATAAAACCGTTTTAGAATGATTGGTTATCTAAAATATCACTTGTATCGTCAAATCTTTACAGATTTACGTAATTTTTTCTGACGTTCTCAAACCCACGCAATTGAAAACAAACAGAATAGTTATCAGCTTAAAATTTTCAGTTCCACGTAACGGAATAGCATAGTTCTTTCAGGCATTAAGGAATTGGAGCCTTTGGTTTGAAGTAAAAACTGCATGATGCATAAATTATTTACTCGAATTAGTGAATCATATGGTGCATTTTTGCTATATTTCTTTGCGAGAAAAGAAATGAGTGTTATAGGAGAAGCTGTGACACTACGAAGATTTCTGTACTATTCCACCGTTGTAAATATAGATTATGACTTTGATTGCTTGTAACTTATACTTGATTGCTAATACTCTTTTGTAAGGTTCAAATTAACTGTTCAAGTGAACAAGCAACTTATGATATCCCGTATTCTAATGTCAAATTAAATTATTATACTTCTTTGTGTCTAATATGGATGAAAAATTGAATCATACCTAACTCTACGATTACACTTATTAAAATCTTAACAAAAGAAAAATAATAACATCCTGAAATTTTTGTTTTAAAATAAATGAGTCATAAATGTTGCATAAGCCAGCCCGTTTTGAAGATCTCCTCTCTCATAAATTGTGACCATTTAGCACGAAAGAATCGTGATCAGCCAATGAAAGTTTTACGAAATTCCTGAGTGCGACGAGAAGTATTCGCTTCACCTAAACATAAAACGTAAAATTCAAAATGTTCCGTACTCGAATGAGCTTAAAAGTAATAATTCTCATAATGTTGTTTTGAAAAGCAACAATAACACGATTATCAGACATTTGCAGACGGTCACATATTGATAAAGGATACAATAAACTTAATTATTGGGGCTTCCTTTCAATGATTGTGCGGAAAGGTCAATGGTTCTTTTAACTTTTAGCGCAACAGCGCTTACTTTGTTTGTTGCAGTCTTACAGTATACATTCTCATTAGAGATACGTATCTACTTCATCAATCTTAACAACGGCATTAGCCAATCTGAAGCCACCAAATTGTATTTCAGCCATTGCGTCAACCTTCTCACGAAGTATACCCACGGCTATCGTGCTCGCAATTGGCTTAGCAATCATTCGGGGTCGGGACTGGATGACTCAGGTTCACGCAGTCTGATACCAAGCGGAAAGCACCCGGCCGAATCATTTAAAAAGGACCAATTAACAAGACTGAGAACGAACAATGTACAGATATTGTATCTGTTGTTTACATTGCGTCCACGTGGTTATCGAGTTCAAACTTCACTGGGTCTAGGAAACTAGAATTAATAATTAATTTGGCCGAGTTTGTTTTCAGAGTTAAATAGGTTGAGTTTACATTATAACGGGATAGTTTGCTCATCTAATAATTCAATATTTACGAATTCTCATGCTAGTTTCATAGGATCGTAGAACCTAGTAATAATATATTTAAAATTATTTAATAGACTCTTGCTAGGTCGCACTAAAACACAATTTAAGCTTTTTTTTTGTAAAATTCCTAATGGACTTTTTGTACCTTTCCTATATAAGCTGTCTTCTAATAGGCTAATGTAATATTGATGACTCCAGTCACACGTTGAAACATTTATTTGTAAATATATTTTGATTGCACCCAATGTGTTTATTCATTCGGCTAATTTAAATTGCATCGCACATTAGTATTAAATTCGTTTTATAATTAACGCCGTTATGTTTTCTCTTGTTTGCAATTAAAGTGATAAATGTAATGAGATTCATTGGAATTATCTATTGTAATAATTTAACTGCGATTTAAATAAATGGAACTTTTAAAGTTTCCGTTTTGGTATAAGGCGATAAAAAGTTGGACCGTTTTTAACCGCCGTTATGATGACCAAGCCGTTTTGATCTGTTATTGATGGGAACCGAACAATGTTCCGTGACCTTGAATTTAACGATACCTCTAAACTACTTCGGGGAAGACAAGAAAAAAGTATGAAAGCAAAAAGCAAGCTATTAATCTTCAGACAGTCAATATAAGTAGTTTTTATACTTCTATGATATTTGTAACCAATGATGATAGTGTTGTAACATCTATGAAGAAGCCACGTCCACTAAGAGCGTAAATCAAATATTGCAAAACATCAAAAAGGAACGTTAACAACACTCAACAAGTACCGTACGACACTAATAGTCTAATAATACAAACGATTTTGGCTCAAACCCAAGGAAGGGAAGCTTCACCCCAAAAAAATGTATGGGTTTTAAAACCTGCGGCTGAACGCTTGGGTTTGTTTTGTTTGGGCATCGTTAGTATGAGTGGTGGACAGACAATTTCTATTCCATTGTTGTTTAGAGAAGCTTCATCTTTGTTTGTCGTTTTCTTGTTGTCACCTCAAGAATTTTTAGTACCTTATGAATGCTGATTGTGCGTTTGGCATTGAAACATTTGAACTTTACATGGACTTGAAAAAAGTTATTCGTAAACTTTGCGATGGCGAAACGGTGTCGCAACTCAACATCTATGCTAAATTACAATATGCTAGCGAACTTTCGTGCAAAACAGAAGTAAAAAAAAATATTCAAAGTTCATGCGACGACATTCTGTTTACTAATAAAAAAAAGCAGCTCATACGAATTGGAAAAGTAGATGTGAAAGTCAGTCGAAACTTACCGATTAGATATTGTCCTCAGGCCAGGTCGTCGACAGAAGACCAGTAGGGCTAAGGAATTCGCCGCAGTCGACACTAAGAATAGTGCCAGGAGTACGATCTCCTCGGCGAGCCGGTCTCGATCCATCCCCTCTGACATCAACGTTGGTCCAGGAGACGTGAGAAAGGGCTGTTCCATTCAAATATCATCACTACACTTGAACACTAGCAACTTGACACTCTCAGTTTTATTTTTGATCCAGTTCACTGCAGTTGTAAGTCGCGTAAAGTTTAGGAGAACACTGCGGCGTGTGGCCGCGTCTTTCTCGTAGCGCTGTCGAGTGACAACTGAACGGTCGACTCGACTCGAGACGACCGCGCGACCGGCTGGCGTGGCTCTAGCCATCCCCTCCCATTCTGCAAGTTGTATGTATGCTGTGCCCGAACAGTTTGTTCTCGCTTCGAAGAAGATAGAATTTTCCCATCTTTTATGTAGAGCGGATTTTTCATAAAGCGCTCATTTTTTTATCATGTTGGGTACGTAACTGTTTATTGGATATTGGTGATTCAAAAAAATAAGGCAAAAAAAAGCTATAAAAAAAATATTTAACTGGGAAAAATAAGCTTGACTCTCACATCTGTCTTGAGATAAGCCGATTTATTTTTTCTAAAATCATATATATATTTGTGTAGGTAACTGTGCGTGCATTTGTTAAGTATATTTACAATCAACGATAAATTGCATAAAATCTGAATACCTAACACATCTGAGAGGCTGACTGTTTAATAGCCTTCCTAGACAAATGATTCATTATCTTAATATGTAATTGTAAATATTTTTGCTACAAAGTTTAAAGTCTCAGGTTTGTTTGTCTCAGACTTTAAACTTTGCTTTGAACCGATCGAAAATTTTTAAGTTCACAGTGAATTGCAGAAATTCGTTCATTTTGTTTAGATAAGGCAAACCAATTTTACTGATTTTCAAAGTACTATTTATCTTCATTTTGCAAGAAAAAATAATATTAATATTTATTAGGAAACATAAAAATAGGAATAAGTAATGTAATGACAATACGGACTTAAGAGATAGTGAAAGAAATTAATAATGAAGAAACAACTTTATATAACATTACACACCTTTTTAACCTTTTCATGTATGGAAAAATATTTTTGAACCCTTAATTTAACTACATTTATTATTGACAATCTTAATATTAGAAATCATATAAAACGCTAATTAAGTACAGTTTAAATAATAATTATTCACAAAAATATCGATTGGGCATTGTTGGTGTGTGTGTGTTTGCACATAATTATTATACCTAATTGGAGTCATTTTATTTAGGTTTTTTAAATTATGAATTAAATGTGTTAGTATTATTTGTTTATACGAGGCGCAACAAATTACCCCATCCACTCCATTTGATGTTAAGTGTAAGTGGAGTCCGCTCCATCCTCAACTGGCCGACCTGAACTCAATCCTCGGTCCCGCTGAGCCCTGGAACCCTACTCACCAGCAGAAACACAACACCACCAAAAGGTAGTGATATTTTCACTATTATAAGTTCTGTGGATATTTTACTGTGGTATTCTGTACGGTAAAGGTTGCTTCCCCAGACGAGCGCTCCAATTCGAGCGGAAAATCTACTGTGCCTTACCTCTCTTTTTCTTCTCAGGGTACAACTCTAAATTACAAAAAAGTGATTCAGATTTCGTAATACTTTTTCATTTTTATTGAGTTATTGACATAATTATTTTATCTACTTACCGAACTGCGGACCTACAAAGGCCACATTGAGCAATTCTCATTAGATTCTTAAAGTGATTCATATTGAAAATGAGGAGCTCGATGGCGCGGGTGGTTAGCACGTTCGGCTGCGATCGTTGAAAATAAGCAACTTTCGCAGTGGTCGGTCATTGGATGGGTGACCAAAAATCTTCTATCTCGAGTTCTTCCGTGCTTCGGAAGGCACATTAAGCCGTTGGTCCCGCCTGCATCTGCAGTCGTTAGCACCCGCCAATCCGCACTGGGCCCGAGTGGTGGGTCATGGCTCAATCTCCCTATTCCATCCATAGGGAAGGCCTGTGCCTCAGCAGTGGGGAAATTAATAGGCTGATGATGATAATGATTGAAAATCACAAAATGGCCACTTAGCCGACAATTCATATTAGGATTCGGATACAATTCCTACGCAGCAATTCATTCATTTGACAATTTTCTATGAGGATTCCTATAATGGTCCACAAAATAGAAATTGCTTAAGTGTTAGTTAGCAGATTCATAAAAGTTACTCAAGAGCAACATCTTGCAGCTGATATTTAGGAATTCATTAAGTAGGTCTATTAATATGTCACCATTACAGGCACGCTTTACTGCGACTCTGACATACATAATTAAAAACAAAACAAAATATAGTAATTCCCATTACAAGCACTTATCTTATGTAACTACGTATAAAAAGAAGAAGCAATTGTCAACGGGATAACGAACCTCATAGCTTTGTCTTTGAGTCTGATTTGCGATAGTGAATTTTTCTCACTTACTATGACACTATTCGTGCATCACACTGGGGTCACAACATTTGTGCTGATATCAAAACTTGTTTCTTTATCATGAAAAAAGTTCCGTTCGACTTTAAATTTAGAATTTCTTTACAATTTATTGTCTGCTGTTGTTTATATTAGTAACTAGCAAACCCCGCGAACTCCGTTTCGCCACCAGATGGCTTCTTATTATGTAACATTTCGTTTGGTGATTAAAAGAAGTTTTTTTTTATATTTTTTCCTGAATTTTCTTTGCTATAAACCCCACGGAGCCCGAGACCTTTCCAACGAATGCAAAACCGTGGAAATCGGTTCGTGCGTTCTGGAGTTATAGCGTCAGGAAGGAAAACCCGACTTATTTTTATATAGTAGATTTATCGAATGTCTTTTATGTTTTTAGCAAGTCTGGTTTTATAAGACCTGGTTCAAAAAACCCTTTAGTACAGATTTTAATCGACCTTTTTTACAATACAATCGCACTTATAATATCAGTAAATCGGATTGTGGACAATAGGGATGATGACTAATATTTTTTCTTCGTTTATCAGGTAGATTATCAAAAAGATTTGGACACATATTTTTTTCTTTTTTCACATAATATAATCATTGTAGAGATATATTGATTTGAAAAGTCGCATGACGTCACGTTTTGGTACAATTTTCACTTAAAAGTGAGGTCACGAGTCACGAGCTACCTACTCCCATTTTTGACGCGCTATAACTTTGTAATTTTTTATTTTATTGCCCAAAGAAAAAATACGTGTCCATTATTGTTTGATCATCTAACTGACGGACTAAATAGAATTTCGTTAACTGTACCGCGTCATCCCTATTGTCAAGTATCTATTATTGGCTGCTTCAATAATCTTCAGCCTACATTTTACCGTGTAATGGCGTAATTCATAATAAACTAATGCCTGAAATTGGAGTTTTCGTGCGATTTTAGTTCACAGAATAGCACTACAGGTGGCGTTGCTATCTTTAAAATTCAGAAAACCAGACTTACCCGCCAAAGGATGTAGTCTTTTTGATTCTAGGCAGGAGTAATGCTTAAAAAAAGTCTTTTTTATCAAAAGTTATAATGAAACATATGTAGTTTATAAAAACGTTTTAATTGGTTTTATCATTATTATTTGCATATCTTTTTACTCGTCTCGTCTGAACGACGCGACGGGTGACCGGCTTGTTTGCATTGTACGCAGTCAAATTGGCCCGGTCAATGGCAATTGCATTGAATACAATAGAGTACCAATGAAAAGCTCATCATATAAATTCTTTTTATTGACAAAATGACAATGTATAAATGCATTTTTTTTTAAATGTACCTGCTTGATGTTGAAATTTTAGATTTCAAAATATTACTAGAAAAAATTCAACGCGGATCAGGATTCATTTGACATTGTGGGTTACCTACACTGCGAAGAGATGGCGCTGCCCTGCCGCTTAAGAAAGGCTAGAAAGAATTCGACACGGCCGTCAGGGCCGCGGTAGCATTATTGGTCAGTGCATTCGCCCTGATAGCGAAGGGTGCGGGTTGGAGTCCCGTCTGCTGCGGTCGTCGCGTAGATTTTTTTCTAGTAATGTTTACTTTAATTTTATTCTTTAAAGTACCGGTAAGATAAAAAATGGGTTGCCTGTTTGGACGACAGTCAAAATGAGGTTACAATATGACAGTGATAATATTAATGGCGCGCTTACACTTGGTCGCTAGCCCGAATGCGAGTGCCAATGGAATTCGGGTACACGACTAAATGTAAATGAACGGAGTCGAGTACGCCCGTATTTAAATATTATTTGGGTAGATTTCCTTTTGTTTTCCCGACACCGTCTTCCAGCCCGTAATCATCATCATCATCATCAGCCTATTAATGTCCCCACTGCTGGGGCACAGGTCTTCCCTATGGATGGAATAGGGAGATTGGGCCATGGCCACGCGGGCCCAGTGCAGACTGGCAGTGCTAACGACGGCAGATGCTGCCGAGACCAACGGCTTAACGTGCCTTCCGAAGCACGGAGGAACTCGAGTTAGAAAATTTTTGGTCACCCATCCAATGACCGACCACTGCGAAAGTTGCTTAACTTTAAAGATCGCAGCCGAACGCGCTAACCACCCGCGCCATCGAGCTCCTATACGCCCGTATTCCAGTGTAAATATTGCTTTGGGTGTCTGAATTCGAGTAATGTCCTTCGTGCACCTGAATACAGGCCTGAAACGACTAAAGTTAATTGCGGCGATAACTGTCCGAACGAAGCCAGTTAAAGTTATAATTACATTTAATTTGAACTAGCTCTAAGGTGCAACTTACACCTGCGTGGCCAATTGGAAATCAGGTGCCACGACTACATCCGCACTCTCGACACGCATTGGGAGGACTGACGTTCTCTGAATGCGAGTCGGGTGACCGGTTAATACTCCTGAGTATTGTCTGGTCTGGTCTGCCTGCACAGGGTCGACTTTAACCTATTGGAGACCCTGGGCATATTAGGATAATAGGGACTTTTATGTGGATTATGACTTGAAATGGAGCGAGTCATACTGATGAGTGTACTACTGATGATTTTTCTTTAAAATGTGTATGTGTGCTTCGTATACCATTATATGTACACACATCAAAAGTGTCTAGGGATCAACATATATTTTTGCAATAACTTTTCTCCTGATTGATATTAATTAAAATTTTCTTTAAGGATTCATCAAATAAAGTGTTTTCGTTTGTCACAGTAACGATAAACCAAGTCACCTTTGCATTAATAAAGAAATTTGCCATTTTCCTAATAAAGGGATTTTTGACATTTGA